TCGGCGACTTTGTAAGTGATTGGAGCGACCGGGGTTCGTGGCACTCTCTCGTTGGTGCAGCTGGGCTCGGTTTTAAAAACCTAGTAGAGGAAAAGGCTCTCGGCCGTACACTCTATGGAGGAGGGGAAAACATGTCCGGACGGAAACGTGGTCACGATAGCGGGTCATCACCTGACTTCAAGCGGCTCTATGGAGATTCAGTCGTCAACTTCATCGAGCGAGCCCTTTACTCCGGAAGCGGAGCCGCAGCAGATTCGTCAACAACCAACGCAGACCCGTGCCCAACGGACCAGGAGACCTCGCAAGAACTCACCCAACGCGGGCCCGGAGGAGCAGGAATTGGAAGTAATACTCAAAATGAAGGAGTCGTCGTACAGCAAATTTTGCGCGTCCCCAGAGACCAAGGAGTGGTTTCAGTGTATAGTGACAGTAAATTACTTACCACCTGGGGGTACGCCACCGTGTTAACGAAGATAACGTACACGCACGACAAAAAGTATTACGGCTACTTTACGTCCATGTCTCGCCTGCCCGTCGAGTTTCCCTACCTCTATATTACACCGGGCACTTTTAAATCGCTGCCTCCAGACACCAAAGCCCTTTCTTGCCGCGCAAAAATAACGCCTCACGGCATCCGCACTCCCTGGAAAACTGGATCTACCGTAGTACAGCCGGTCAATTCAGACATGTTGGTGTACGGGGTGAGTTCGGTGGGATTAAACTTGTACCTGGACACGGGCATGGCCAAGCCGGGCACGGGCACGACAGACAATCAAATGGTAACGACGGAACCGAGCGAGTTTCACACAAACGACCATCGCCTCTTCATTGAAAAGTACTGGGGCGTAAGCATGGACAGTAGCGGCACTTTAACAAAATCCGACACAATCCCCACGTGCATGGGGGTACCGCGGCACAACAACTGTTACGACTTTATTCATTGTGCCGACTTTGCACCCCGCACCAACAAGTTTATTAACACTTTCCCCTTCAAAAGTCACGTTGGCACTCCCATAATTAATTACGATTACACTTTTCAAAACGGCTGGCTGCGTACGTGCGCCCCAATGTGCGGGGATTCCAACACGTACATAGCCGCCCCTTCGACCGTAATGGGAAAACAACTTTCGACCCTGGACTCTACAATCAAGGACACCAGCGTGCAAAATTCCGTAATAATGCTACAGCGAGAGGATTTTGACAGCGAGTACGACAGGCCCATCGAGCGCGAACACAGCCACCAAGGTTTAATACACAATCCCCCCAATTGCAGCAAGGCGCAGCCTAGCGTGGGCTTTGGAATTTTGGCAGTAAGCAAAAAATCGATCGATTCTCCGGGCAGCAACGATAAATTTCAAGACGTGTCGGCATTTTTCCAGGTGGACACAGAACTGGTGCTTCACTCGAGCAACGATACAATATCGCCCATGCAAAAAATTAACAGCGCGTGCCACCAACACTTTACCAAAACTAAGGTAAACAAGTATATCCCAGCTAACCGACAAACACACTTGGGCCACTACACATATCACGAATCTGCCGGAACTGCCAAGTTACTCTCTGTACCATTCAAGCCATAATAAAGAAACTTTTTATTGTTTCTTGTACCCACATCGCCTGCATATCTCGTTATTCGTCAACCAATTGACTACTCTGTCCCATTCTTCGTCCATTGCTCGTACCATCCGCTGACAGTAATCATTTTCGCTTTCATCTTCTCTCCGAACAATGACCAGATGATCGTAATTGCCTCGAAGCACCTTGGCACAAATATCCCTTTCCTTAAGATTTTCTTCTTGTGTCTTCTGCGCTTTTACCCTCTCCTTATGCATGCGTGCTTCGACTTCCCTCTTTCCAAACTCGACGAGTTTATCGACGACCAATCGGAGAAAATCCTCCTTGAAATCCAGGGAGCACTCTATTGCCCTGGACACGGGGGAATCCTCAATCTTCATGTCGTCGTCGTCGTCGTCGGTATCCTAAAGAAGATATATATATATATATATAACTCTTTTATACTTAGCTACGACAACTGCAACAACATCCAATTTTTTTTTTTTTTTTTTTTTTTTTTTAATTTTTTTTTTTAAATAATTAATTAATTAATTAACTAATTACTAATTAATCAACTAATTAGTCATTAACAGGTAGACTCACCAATAAGATGCGCCGAATATTAGCCCCCAGTCCTCCGTCCTTCTCTCCACCACCAGCCTGGCCACTACTAGTGCTGCTTGGTCCTGGCAGAGGGTCCATCCTTCCCGTCCGAGTCGTCGTAGTAGACTGAGGTTTAGTAGGGTTAGCTCGCTCATTATATAGGCAACTAGCAGAACTGGTTTTGGGCGTCGCCAAGGACGCTAACCGGTTTATCCAGGTCGCGAAGGCCAACCGCACGATATAAAAGGAGCTGCCTTCGGCTCGAAAATTCAGTCTTCGCCGAGGACTCGAAGGGACAAGACCTCCTGCCTGCCTGCCTGCCTGCCTGCCTGGAAGGACTGCC